ATATGAAATTCAAGGGAAATGTCAGCTCAACTCATATCATTGCGGGAACATTCTACTACTAGTCCTCCATCAACTTCGACGAAATAAGGTGAATACATCTCAAGTCTATTCTTAGCCAAACAGCTTTAGTCTCCACCGAGTCTTTCCTGTTTCTATCTGTAATACCATGACTACCACTTCCTATGTCCTAGTCTCTTGTGTGCCAACCCACAAATGTCGTGGTTCTACTTGTTTTGACAAGTCTCACTGAAGACGTATCCTCCTTCCTTCTGATTCTTCCTTTTTCATCCCCTTGCGATCTCTTTTCCTAAGATCAAGGATATTACCTTGTTCTAGTCGTCTTTTTTTTGTTAATCTTGTTGTTGCTTGGTCTTCTCCTAGTTTGTTTAGGAAATATGCAACGTTTTCGCTGATCCTGCTTTCTTCAAGTATCCTGTTAATTAGATTTTTTCAGCCAGTATATCGATGACCTCTCGGATCTTGCGTTCTTTCGTATTTTCACCATATCTAACCCACCTATCGGTCGATTTCCAGTCGAATTCATGCCCCATCCGTGCAATGTGCTTCGCTATTTCTGATCTTTTCGTATCCATGTTCCTGCAGAGTCTTTGATGTTCCTTGATCCATAGGCCGATTTTTCTTCCTGATTCACCGATATTCTTCTGCTCACAGTTTTCCTATTTGATTTGATCAACTCCCGAACAATCAAGTTTATCCATCTGCCAATTCAACGCGATAAGACGGATAAATTTGTATGTTCAGGAGTTTATCGCATCAAATGAGGCAACTGCGAGCAGAAGTATATCAGTGAAACAGGAAGAAAAATCGGAGCAAGAGAGAGACTGGGATAAGACTAGGAAATTGGACTGCATAATAATAAAGCAGATTCTGATCAACATTCCCTGCAGAGGGATGAAGGGGGAGGGAGAACGACCGTTGGAGTGTAAAGGTTTAATGTCGCTCAAAGGAGCATACCACACTATATCTAAATAAACAAGGTAAAAATTGTAATAATGAATGCATGATAAGATGTTCCCGGAAACGCGAATAACCTAGAGCAGAAGGGGAGTTACCACAACTCTTTACCACACGTTTTGTCAAAGGATTGGCTTCAATTGTCTCTGACGAGTTGTTGTATGGTGCTAAGAATGGCGATACTCTCTGACGATGCCTGCGAAATGTGAATGTACCACGTCCACGGTTTAACTTTGGAAATGATCATGCAAACAATGGACTTCCGACTAGGTGCGTTCTCCTAAGTCTTCCTACCAATATGAGCATGTTGCGAAAACAAGCTCAAACAACCTTTATACAATGAAAGGAGACTGCGACCACGCACAAGGCCACACCATCTTGGTCTTCATACCTTCGATTAAATTATTTGACTCATTTCTCTAATAGATGCATTCCTTGACTTGCTTTTCCAGAAGTATGCTTAACAACAAATCTGTTATTTCTAGGCTTCTTCTCTTATTTTTTAATGTTCTGCTTCTGCAAATCTGAATTTCTCATGTTTTTGATTTAAATCCACCATCCTTAAACTTTATAAATACTTTCCTTCGGTTAAAATTTCATATATT